AACGAGGCTGGCGGCGGGGTGATTTCACTCAAGGCCCACGGAAGAATAAGCCTGGTACTCTGACGAGTGTGTTTTTGAAATGTCAGTGGAAATATATTTCGGTCCACTAAACTGCCTTCTCTTCTTCTGCTTCTTCTTTTTCTTCGGGAGATGATACACATGACATTAAAATCTGTAAGAAATAGGACCCTCTGGTTTATTTGGATTAAACAACGGCTGTAGAGTCGAAGTCGAGTCTAAAAGATAGTACCACATCCTCCACAATTTCAGTTTATTTAATCAGACATATTTAAAATATATTTAAGAAGCTATTTATAACCCATATTCGGAGACTCCTATGTGTCTATTGAGCACAATCTCTGGAAGTAATTCCACGCTTTCATTAAATTTCGGCGTATGGTTATTACGTTTTGCACTTGTATACCTAATTCCTGCAATCGAGCCAATTTACGTTAATCCACAGACCAATACTTTCCTATCACTAATGACTATTAGCCCAAATGTGCACACAGAAAGTTGACGTTTCAGAGGGATTGTCTGTTTTTGAGTGGTTTTCAGTTTAACGAAGTGATGTCGAGAGCTTAAGGTGATTTCGGCTACCGTTTACTCTATTCGATTTCTACCGCAGCCGCATTTCTAGTGTGATGGAGCAATTTAGCCAACGACTATAATGGAGCTTATCTATCAAGATGAATGCACAACAATATTTGTACCAAATTCTACGGTCTTACGTAGCTCATACTAATCCTTAACAAATAAGCAACTATCGGACTTTATTTTGATGGCCATTTTGTTCATTGAAACGCAAATATTATGTTATCCAGGCCAATCCTGATGTCTCTTGATTGATCCGGCATCGGGGTAATTGTGCAAGCACACATACTATCCGTTGGGCTTGGAACATTGAAGTGAACATAACATTTAATGAACGTAAGTAAACAATTACCACTAGTACTAAGGAAATAGGACGACATTTAGGTCTTCAGGCAGAAGATGCGTTGTTTAGATATGCGGAGGTTTCTAAGACTAACAAAAAACTGTTGTGTTGTCTAAATATCTACAGCATTATTTAAACTTTTAATGAATAGATTAATGATGCTTGCCAGATGGATATGCAGATAATATGAACAGTTGGCAACAGTACCTTATGTAGTCCTACTCATTAATCTCTACAACCTGCATGTTTTCCTACGAAAACTGTGGTTATGCGGTTTTATGGGTGGGAAATTGGGAAACGTAGTGTGAGTGTACTTTAATAAATGCTAAATGCATTTTTATTTTACTATATTTAGAAGTGTTGTTAATTTATATCTGTTGATTTTCTCAATCTGTATTATCTTATAACGTATTGTGGAAAAAGCCGATTATCAAACTGCAGGTTTCTTAAATTTCCCGAAAAATTGAAATAGTGGTTAGGAGGTCGTTTACTTCAAATTACCTGTGGTCAAACTTACAGTTATGGAGTTAGATTAGTATAGTCCGCGGCATGAAGCGCCGCGCACACCTTCAATTAACATGCGGAATGACCTGCTGCCAACGGCCGCGGAAAGCAACTTCGAATACATTTTTTCACCTTACGCTTAATTCTAAAAGTTTGCTTCTCTGTCTATGCTATTTCTCCACCCCACAAGACTCTATAACAACCATTTTTGCAGGAAAAAATGCTAGGACTAGGGGTATATGACTGGGGCTACATAAGCTACTTTTGCCGAACAGTTTTCCTCGGCACATTTGAAACGCAAATTTAACGACTGTTTCATTTTAAACTCGTTCAGAATTCTGCAATTATTCCCGAATTTCCCATTGGCTGAACAACGCGGCGTCTGGAGAAGAAGGTGCGTGGGCACATACCAGCCTGACTCGGCAACCGAGAAAATCCTCGCACACTTGATCAATACACACCACCAAGTTGACACGAGAGAGGACGTTCAGGCTCCGACACACTACTCTAAAGGCTTGCGAAAACGGGTCCTCGCCACAGCCAAAGCAGTGGCAATCCGTTTAGCATAGCCCACTCTCAGCTGTCAAAATACGCTGGTAGCCGCAGTCTGCCTACACTGGCCCACTACACGAGTGGGAATCGT